CAAAAATTATGCTCAGGCCAGCTAAATTCTAACTTGCTTCCATCTTTTTTTTGAAATATTGTTTGCTAGACACTGTTTATTTATCTATAACCTTCTGCTTCTTTCGAAGGTTAGGCTATCTTCTTTCAACCTAACTCTCATCTTTACACTAAACTAAGATTTGAAAAAATTAAATTAAATAAAAAATGCTTCCCTAAAATGCCGTGATTTAGACAGCACCAAAATATTTTACACAATCACTTTTCGCCTAACATTATTCTCATATATTAGTCAATACAGATACTTTTATAGCTAATAACATGTTTTTTTCGAAGGAAAGTTGTTTTGCTGAACCTCTTGAATAACTTCCTTATGTAGACTTTTATTCATTATTAAAATGCATGGAAATGAGATTCTAGGTCTATTTCACTAGAAGACAACGGCCGATTCCCGTTGTGCTAAATACACCTCACCTTAATATGATGTTCAGGTTGACGCAATCTACCAGATATCCTCCTATGTTTCGGGTGAAAACAGATTATGCTCTTATCATATAACACACATGATATATGGAAATTATTCTTGCCAAATATAATGCTAACTGGATCTATACAACTTGCCATGTGTGTATACTCATACCGTAAAATATTTACATATAGGTTGATATAGAATATTTTGAGATATAAAGAGAAGCTGGGTTTGGAAGAATCCCTTAGTAGATTGATAGTGGCATGCAATTCATTTCGTTTGAGAAGGCAGGTGGAGTGGATTCATAGATTGGCTGCACCGGATACTGAAGGAGGGTTGCCTTGGAATTGTGTCTGTTGAATTGTGCAAAGTAGAGCTCGGCTTTCCGTCCTACGACCCAGATGACTCCGTGTTGAGCTTTCATCCATATGTAGCGGACGTCGTCTGAGCCAGAAACCATTATTCACGAGCAACCACTAAAAACACTAAACCATAAAAATGGCCAGTTGAGATCCTACTTACTTCTTATACCTCACTGCTAGCTTAATGTTGCATTCCATGATTTAGTTGGCTGTTTTAAGTTGGTCATACATGCCTGTAAACGAGTCAAAAGTGATGCAGGAAGGGGAGCGGATGTGGCCTTAACTCTTGCCTATGCAAATAAACTAGCGTTTGATTATGTAATCCTGGGGCTTGTTATATCTTCGTGTATGTGTGTTTGTGTGTGTATGCAGCACTAACCAATTAGTTGTCAATTTTAGGTCCAAAACCAGACCTGAAAATTGCTTGATCATAATGGAATCGTGATGTTTTATGCATCGCACTCCCCTTATTGTTCATAATGATCCTAAGTGGTACCCCCTCTGTGGATTTTGGGTAGACCATATGCATTAGGAGGTCTAACGCCACGTTAGAGAAGTGCATTTATTTTCCACTTCTCCAATTATCCACTAGCAAACAGTGTTGTGTACACCTTTTAAGCCTTGACTTTAGTTTTTCTGTAGGGCCCTTATTTATACTTCTGTACGTATAAATATTCGCCAAATCTCCCATCTTTTCTATATAATCTGCTCTATTCATAATTACAACTGCTCCTCCTTTGTCTGCCCTCAAAACTATTACTTCTTGTTGTCTTAATTTCCTAATGATATTATTGAGTCACCTGTTCTTGTTTGGTGGTTCTACGTGCCTATCAATTAAGAAACAACCTGTATTTCAATCTCACTTCTAGCTTCTGCTAATCTATCAGTAAATTAATAACCTCCACTCAAATATCTTCAATTAAAATCTTACTATTTTTCAAAGCATGCTTAAGACCTTTAGATAGAACTTCTTCAGTTGTACTGTCCAATGATAATTTAGACAGGTCACCTATTTTCTGACCTATCTTCAGATAGCTAAATAAAATTAACAAAACAAAGAACATCTTGATTAAGAGGAATGAAAGTAAGAAACTAAGTAAGAATTATGTCTGGTTGCTGCTTAGAATTAGAGAAAGAGACTTAAAATTGACAACCAACTCATGAGTGTTGCGTACACACACGAACACGCATAGACAAAGCTATAACAAGTCCCAGGATTACATGATCAAACGCTAGTTAATTTACATAGGAAAGAGTTGTGGCCACATCCGCTCCCCTTCCTGCATGACTTTACAGGCATGTAGAACAAGCTTAAAACAGCCAACAAAATCATAGAATGCCTCATTAAGATTGCAAAGTGAGGTATAAGAAGTAGGATCACAGCTGAACACCTTTCTGGTTTAGTATTTTGGTGGTTGTCCATGAATACTGGTTTCTGGCCGTCACATAACGGACGAAAGCTCAGCACGGAGTCATCAGGGTCGTAGGACGGCAGGCCGAGCTCTATTTTGCACAATTCCAAGGCCACCCTCCTTCAGTATCCAGTGCGGCCAATCTACGAATCCAGTCCACCTGCCTTCTCAAACGAACTGAAGGGTATGTCAGTATAGAATAGTTTGTTTAGTTCTACCATTTTTGAGTTAAGTAAAGTTAAGTATAATCTTCATTCTAAGATTTCCTAACTTCCCAATGTGCAAAACATATATCACCACTGATGATAATTTACATAAAAAAGATGCAATAACTTGAAATGGATTAGGGCTTAGTTCCAATTTAAGCGCATAACTACACGAAAAACTTGAGGAACAAGAGGTAATTTTGACCATCAAATTCTTCCTTAAATATTTGTATGACTATTTTACCATTCGGCTGCATGACAAGGAATTAACCAGTGTTTAAGCAATAGTAATTTCACTATGTAATTAGGAGAGAATCATGGTTTACCTTTAGGATTTTATAGTCATTGGGGAAGATAGCAAGCATGTAATCGTTCTAAGAAGATGGGCGAACTCAGGAGGAAGTGATACATAAAAGCAGATTTTAAAGAAACCCTGACACTTTATTAGAGCTAAATTTGACCCATTGTCAGTGGCGAACTATTACTAAATTGCGTGC